CGTTCTCGTTCTCGTTCTCGTTCTCGTTCTCGTTCTCGTTCTTCTTGTTCTGTCCTCTTTTTCCTTTTCTTCTCATCCTTTTTATCTCTCCCTCAGTCACTCTCTCTCGAGCGCGTGGGAAAAATTGAGAGCATATTCGTCTCTAACTATATTCTGTCCTAGATTTAGCTGAAAAGCCCCAAGGAAGAATTTTATAAGGCATTATGGCAAATAGACAGAAAAATTCAAGAAAGTAATCATTTGCTCTAAATCACAAGTTTATTTGGCATTCAAATTGATCTTCAGATTTTGGATCCAAGTTGAAGTTATCCAAGATCATTAGGTCCAAACACGGGCTGACACCTCAACCAATCACTGGACAATAAGCACAAGAGCAGTCTTGTAAGAGTGCATCATGAACAGTGCCACCAGAACTTCATAACTTGCATTACAAGTTTAAAGTTATTTTAAAGCGTGTCTAATTAGAATGTCTCATATATGAATTTTTGTATATATATAAGAATTGAAGCCATCGCAAAATTGACAAGCCAATTTCATCAAAGCCAAAGTATGACTGCAATGAGACATTCATCTCTTTGTAACTTATCTGCTATTACATAAAAAGAGGAAATTACAAGGTGGCGTGAAGATATGAAGGTTTATCTTCGAGTGGTGAAAATATATCTTAACACGAGAAGATAAACTTCATATCTTCAAGCCAACGTGTGATTTTCTTTTTATTATATAGACATATCCACAAAGAAAAACTATGCAAGTTAATCAAAACAGGTCCCGGGAAACATCGCAAGTGACGTCATAGACATCCTCAGTGAAGATATGGAAAATATGTTACTCAGGTCCCGGATGCAGTTTGTACGAAAAATACGAGTGGCGTATTTCCCAGTAAAAAACTTATGTCTATCTTTTAATGAATATAACCATGAGAGACGATGAGTTGAAAAAATGTCTTTCCATGTCTTTACCATTTCAAATAAAACCTCCCTCGGCTTTCGGGGACATTTATTCACTAATCGCCTCTTTACATATTATGAAATACTAACCGCTAGAGCCAAAACCATGCATCACTTCGTGACCCGCAATTAGACCAAATTTGCCCAAGTTATACGATCTGTGATTAAAAGTAATTAACATAAACAGCTTGGCAAAATCAAAGTAAAGATCGCAGGGGTCGACTGTACAGTAGTATTTAATAAGACCACTTTTTTCAAATTTATGAAACGTAGCAATAAAGCAGTGTTTACCATGATAAAAATACCGTGTTCAGGAACGCTACTATAAACTATACAAACAACCTTTACGAATACACTAGTTTTTTTAACTTACCTTAAGAATTTGTTAGGATATAAGAATGGTGGCTGTAGGATGACTGCTGTAAAAGCTTTCATCGACAAAAAAACAAGACTGGAATCATTGGATATTCCAATGCTCATTATCAATAGCGTCTGGACGGGGGTTCAAAATGTCAGTTGCCAGTTTTACACCTTCTGTCACAGTAAAATCTGGGTTATGACGCGGTCAATAGATTAGCACGATTTTTTAAAATATAGTTCATTTGCAATTCTTTAAAACCTCTATAACATTAATTTATGGAAAGTTACAAAATACTTTCAAATATATTAAAAAATATATTTAAAAGTATTTTGTAACATTCCATAAATTAAAATTATGGAGTCTTTACACCATCACGTGATTGCAGCCATGACAGGAAGCACACTAATAGAGTATTTTCCACCCTGTCATGGCTGCCATCACGTGATGGTGCAAAGCCTCTATAAAAAAATTGCGCATCAGTTAAAACTTATTTCACCGAGTTCTAAAGTATTTACATTTATTGCGTTTTTGTTTACGATAACACAAATAGGATTGTCAGTTAATTTTGTTGTTGTTTTTGTCAGTTGCCGAAAAAAGTATCCTTGTTTTACAGTTGTGCTTTTGGCCATATCTGTAGATGGTTAACTCCATTATTGGATGGAAACGATCAAACAACTGTGATATTACTTACTTATACTATGCTTTAAAATATGGTAAGCGGCATTTGCTTTCAAAGGAGAAATAAACCATCTGAAAACGAAAGCAAAAAATGTGCAAAAATATTATCCAAAGTAATTGTTGATATTGATAAGGCAGCACAAATACCACTAGCGCCCCGTCCACACGTATCCGGAAACTTTTGTATCCGCAAAAAATTATTCTTTGTGGATACGAAAATGTTTGCGTCCACACGCAGCGTATTCAAATCGTTTTCACCGTCCACACGTATCCGTTTTCGTAAAATTTGAGGATACGGACACAAAAATTTGCGGACACGTGCGGACGCAACCCGTATCCGTAAAAAATAATTTGCGGATACAAAAATTTGCGGATACGTGTGGATGGGGCCTAAAACGAAAATTCGATAATCGTTTTCAAATGCCAGAATAGACCCTTTTCGAGTTCCAAATTACCACTGTGTTTCTTGATTACAGACTCATTTACTCAGGCTTAGCCTCGTATAAGTGTCTAAATATTCAGAAATACCAACGGTAAAGTAAAGAATGCACAACTTCAACAATACAAACACTTTGAAACTTGACGGACCTTGACTGGAACACGTGAATATTCTGCACAAAATCGAGGCTAAGCCTGAGTAAATGAGTCTGTAATCAAGAAACGCAGCGGTAATTTGGAACTCGAGAAGGGTCTATTATAATTCATATCGAATATTTTCACAGCGCTATTAAGTTACCCCACGCATGTGCGATAAATATAACGCCCTGCATCGTTAATTACCTCCTCTCCTCAATGAGCACGAAAGAAAAAAATATATAGACGTTTTTTGACCTCTTATTTATTTTGGTCTGTTATAATAATAATAATAATAATAATAATAATAATAATAAT